CAATCTATCGAAATCTAGTCCATCATTAAATACCTACGAGTTTTTATTTTTATCTTGGTGGTGGGCTGGTATGGGGATCTGTGTTTTTACTTTAGAGAGCATTTTTAGATTCTAAGGAGAGCCTGCTAAGACGAGCTACTCCATGGGGTTTGGGCTGGAATGATGTCATATTTGATTAATTTTAGGAGCATTGAGATGAATCGGGTAGAGTTGAGTCTCAATCCTTGCCTGCTTGGATTAACAACTCTTTGTACATCAAGAAGCTGATGAATTCTCAGAGGTGCTCCCTGATAGAAGTGCTTCTAACCTGGAAAAAGTCTTGAAGATGGGAGATGAGGAATTGGAACTGCAAAGTCCAAGTCAGGATCCTTTCCCTAAGCTTCAAATTTCAGAGAAAGCCCTCTAATAATATCCCTAATAGTCTATAATCTTTTTCTTGATGACCAGAGTAAACTGATATAGTGATAAGATGGTCTTGACTATGCAGACAAATGAGTAATAAATAATAAATATTGTGTTCATGGTCTCATTTAGACCTAATGAAGAGAATAAGAAAGACTTGCCATAGATTGGCCTCTGCATGCCACCACTATCCCTGGCACCGTCGTTAGCCAACACTTCACCAAAGTGAGCAGTTCCCTGCACAGGTTATGACCCAGTCCCATGGGATAACTACCTGTTGTGGTAATCAGTACTTACTTGTTGTCAGAGATATCTCAATTGTAATTAATTAAGGAAAGTCTTCTTTCTTCTAACATGGGGCAGGAGTCTAGGATATAGGGTGTGGAAAAGCAGAGTCCTTGGTGCACTTAGAGAATTCTTGGGTCTCAGGTCAATACTTATGGGTCTAAATCAAATATCTAAGTAACAAATCTAGCTTCATCAAGAATCTTGGGCAAGCTAACAGAGTACTTCATCTTTGGAGATGAGGACAGGGAGCTTGTCCTATACCTTGGGGTTTTTGTGCCCTGGAGTTGCCTTCCAAGGACTGTCCTCCTAGGTCAGATGGAGGAGTAATCACAGGAAGGTTCTGGCTTCCACCTGAGAAGGGGCTGGGCTTGCAGTGCTTGATACCTCTGCTCTGCCATGAGGGTTTTACTAAATTACAGGTGTGTCAGAACAACCTGTCAAGAACAAGGTCAGGAAGTTGGGCTTCTAGGACAGAACATGCAGAGTGTAGGATGAAGGCAGGTCACAGCAGTGAGACAGGGTAGATGGCAGCTAAGGTCAGGTGGAGCAGTGGTAAGGGGAGTCTGAGAGCTCAGAGGCATCAGGCTCTGAGTCTGAAGGCAGGTCACAGCAGTGAGACAGGGTAGATGGCAGCTAAGGTCAGGTGGAGCAGTGGTACGGGGAGTCTGAGAGCTCAGAGGCATCAGGCTCTGAGTCGCAGAAGGACTCAGACTGAAGCAATCCAGCACCCTGGATAGCACCACAGCAGTGACTAGCACAAAGGCAGGTCTATAAAGTTGACTGTAGGTCATCCAAATGGCCCCACTGTCTCGATCAGATGAGTCCCAAACTGAGCTGTTTACCATAATCAGCTAAGAAGATGTTTAAAGATACAAATTCTAAGGTCCCACTCATGAAAATTCTGCTTCTGTGAATCTAAGGCTAGATACTGGAATCTGTATTTTTAAAAATCTCCCAGGTCATTCTGATGAGTAGCCACATTTGAAAACCACCACTACAGATAGAACTTAATTGATTGTTAAAGGTAGATATCCTCTCCTGTACCCTTATACCCATCCCCCAAAGGGCTTTTTCGGTATCCATGGTGGATGCAAGGATCACATCTTCTCATGTGGCCTCAGTTGGTCAAGCATGAATGACAGTCTAGTCATTCATTTCTTCTGCTTTTTATTCATATTTGTCCTGTGTTTGACCACCTTTCTTGATGTGCAGGGGCTAGGTCTCATGTCTGCATGGCTCTGACTTTGCCTCATCTTCTACTAATTTTAATGAATACATTAGAACTATTACTGCTTAAACTACAGATATCCCTTTAATTATAATTATTTTACAGTTCCTTATCATTTTCAATGACTATATCCTACTTTGGTGTTATTTGCCCCACTGTCTACTCCTCCCAGAATTACCAGCCTCAATTATTATAATTGCCAGTCAATAACAGTTATAGTTGATTCTTAAATACCTTCATGAAATTCAAAGCCACAGAATGAACAGCTAAGAATTTTTCCTCTAGAGTTTCCTGAAAAACAAAGAAAAGAATTTCAATGTTTCATAACCACAGTGCAATGTATATTTTTTCAATATATTAGTAATAAGAACACTTTGGAGAAAGACCCCCTAGTTGGTTAGATAATTCTTTTAAAAATCTTTTTTTAAGTCATGTTTTTACATAATTTTATACTGTAAAGATAATGCAAAGATCTGGAAGACATAAAACTGGAGTTATTTTCTAAATTTCATGATATCTTGCAATTGATCCTGGGTAAATGTGGGTCACAAATGTCCCCATCTGAAATCCTACAACAGAGCTATAACATCTGTGCCTGATCTTCTTATAATGGTGCTTTGAGCATTCGTGAAAATAAGCTGAACTACACATATAAGAGCACTACACCAATCAACAGAATGAAAAACACAAAATTCAGAATAGTGGGGAGGGAAGGGAATGGGGAATCTTCAAAGATAATGGTAATGTTCTACTTCCTTAGCTGGACAGCGACATGTGAGTTTGTGGTATTTTATTCTCTAAATTAAATGCATCTACATAAATATTCTCTTGTAACCATTGATCTTAACCTTATAATTCATCCTTTGACCTTGTATTGTATTTGTTAAAGGTTTTTTTTTTTTTTTGTCTTTTTTTGTCTTTTTCCGTGTCCGGCAACGGATCGCAACCCTCAGTGTTGCCCCCGTACCGGACCGGGACCGGCAACGGGATTGCAACCCTCGGCGTTGCTCCTGCGCCTCGCTCAGCCAGTGAGCGGGAACCGGTCTGTATGTGGGATCTGAACCCTCGGGCGGGAGCGCCGCCGCGCTTCCCAAGCGGCGCACTTTCCAGTGCGCCACCGGGCCGGCCCTAAAGTTTTTTTTTTTTTTTTGTCTTTTTTTGTCTTTTTCCGTGTCCGGCAACGGATCGCAACCCTCAGTGTTGCCCCCGTACCGGACCGGGACCGGCAACGGGATTGCAACCCTCGGCGTTGCTCCTGCGCCTCGCTCAGGCAGTGAGCGGGAACCGGTCTGTATGTGGGATCTGAACCCTCGGGCGGGAGCGCCGCCGCGCTTCCCAAGCGGCGCACTATCCAGTGCGCCACTGGGCCGGCCCTTGTTAAAGGTTTTAAACAAAAAACTGAAAAAGAAAACTGGTATATAAATCAAGGTATTATATGAAATAATTGATGCAAAATAAAGAGGGTTCTGGAGATAGTTGGGCCCACTTGAAACTCAGATTGTTCATTATCTGGCTTCTGAAACTTATCCCCATCCCTGCATCACTCTGGCTCCGATACAGCTTGAGTGTGGACACATGTCTCTCCTAACAGTCCTTTCTTTCTATAGACAGACTCTAGACCACATGGAATTTTAAAGACCGTAGCCTGAACATAGGTAAAACGGACAGGAAATCAATGTCTACAGAGAGTAAGAGGGTCAAGTAGTCATTGATACATTTCCCAATAAAGGCAAAGGCCATAGCAAGAGTACAGAGACAATCACTGTGATTTAGAGTTTAGTGAGTACAATGAGGATCATTTTGTAGAATGATCTTCCATGTGAAAATATAAGTTTTAGAAAAAAAGGTTTTTATTGATTGGTGCTTTGTTTTACAAGCTGGAAAAAAATTAAGAGAATGCATTTTTTTCAAAATAAAGAAGACTACTGAACATACTGTTCATGAAAATATAATTATTTCAGGGAAAGTTATCCTAGTCCTTTGGCCAATAGAATCAAGGTATTTACTTAAGAATCTACATATACTTTCACTTTAAATTTAACATTACATTAATCTTTGAATAGGACAGGTAAACTTTTACAGCATTCTCCTGGCTCAGATTTATGTAGTAGAAATATAATTTCTTCAGTCTGTGTCAGTATGTCATAAAGAAAATGGAAGCCAAAAGCACAAATATTAAAAAAGAAACTAGCTCTTTAAAGAAAGTGCAACACAAATAATAAAATATCCCAAATAGAGCAGTTTACCATGTCTTCTGGTTCAGGTATACTGATACCGTGGAAAAACTGGTTACTTTTAAAGATAGATTGATGTCTTGGGATTAGTTTTCCTGTAAAATAAAAACCACATAACTCATGATAAATTTGGTAAAAAATAATATGGTATTTGGAAGGTTAACTCCCGATGCCCAGGTATGAAAGAAATACTGTGCCTGACTGTTCCCTCTAGATACGGGAGGAATGGGTCCCTGCAAAAGCAGGCCTTCTTGGGTAAGGCCATCTCCCACACAAATCTCAGCCATTCAGTCTCCATCAGAAGCCAAGGTGAGAAAATGGTGCTAAGGACCTTACACTGTCTCACCTAATCTCAGAACAATCTCACAACGATAGTTGCTAATGTTAATCTCCTCTGTACCAATGAGAAAAATGAGGCTCAAAGAAGTTTAAAAACTTGTCCAAGATAACTAAGTGGCAGAACCAAGACTCAAACTCAGGTCTGTCTCATGCCAAACTCAGGTCTGTCCAATGTAAATTTCCAGTATCCTGTTAGGAAATCAATCAAGCAAGCAATATAACACTTAAAGTGTGACCTGTAATGATACAAAAACATTGTAATGATACAATGTTCAGGATTCTCCAGAACAAGTATCAGAACCAAACAGGGAACTGTCCAGCAGCCATGCCACCAGGAGATTCTATGGGACCGAATTAATAAATACCAAATTAATAAATATCTCTTGTGTGTAGAGATATCACTCTCTTAGCATCTATGCTGCTGGCATGTAGCTGAGGCTAACCTTTTGGGTTATATTTTCTTCCAACCAGGTGGAGGTAGACAACAACTGCAAGGATGCTGACCCATGGTGAAAGGTCAGGAAAGAAACCCCTCTAGTGCCATTCCTAGTCTGCACTTAACTGGCTATATGACTTTAGGCCAATCATGACAGCTCCCTGAGCCTCAGTTTCCTCTTTATAAAACAGGCACAATTAAAAACAGTATAACTTTCTTAACAGGTTTTTCTTAAGACTGAAAATATGATGTGTGTGAAAGTAATTCCTAAAGTCTTAAGTACTATACAAAGGAGACATGCTAATATTATTTTAAATGCTGGCAGCCACTCCCGATCAGGAAGTAGAATTAGATCCTAAAGCTTTAGGGCAGGGGTCTGCAAACTATAGCTTTCAGGCCACAAGTGGCCTAGTGTTTGTTTTCGTACAGCCTTTGATCTAAGAATGATTGTTACATTTTTAAGTAGATTTTTAAAAAATCAAAAGAATAATAATAATTTTGTGACATGTGAAAACCACAAGAATTAATATTTCAGTGTCCATAAATAAAGTTTTATTGGAACACAGCTACATTCGTTCATTTACACATGAGGGTACTTTTAAAAGTTTGTGGATCGGATCGCTGTACTGGCCAGCTGCCAAAAAAAAAAAAAAAAAAGAAAGAAAGAAAAAGAAAAAGAAAAAGTTTGTGGAAAAATAGAATTAAAAGATAATTTGAATCTTTCCATGAACTTTTTGGAGTACCCTCGTATTGCGTATGGCGGGTTTTGTACAACAGCAGAGTTGAGGAGTTGCAACAGAGACTGTGTAGCCTGCAAAACTGAAAATATTTCTCATCTGGCCTTCTGCAGAAAAAATTTGCTGTTCCCTCCTCTAGAGCAAAGGGGGGGAACCTCTTTTACAGTGCACAAAATTTCATTTAATCAGACATCTCTTAGATTAAGCTCCAGGCAGCTGAGTCATATCCTTATCCCTATCTCAGCCTGATATGGATAGTAAATGTATATAGTTTATTCCATGGCTAATTGGCTTTTCTTGGAAAGGCATCTGAAAACTCACTGAGTGGAGTTATGGCTATACATATGGAGAAAAGGACCAGGCTTTGGCTCTAACCCAGAACCACCAACCTGAGTAGAACTTTGGAGAAGCAATAAATCTCTTGTTTTTCATTATAACAACATAGGAATACTGTAACAATTTAGCAACTCTCTAAGACATACAATGCAATTCATACCCAGTGTTCTGATTATCAGATAAAGTTGGTCCACATCTGATTTTCCAGGCCAGAGTGGCTGGCCTGTCAGGAGCTCTGCAAAAACACAACCAATAGCCCAGATGTCGACTGAAGAACCGTACTGAGTATCTCCCACAAGAAGTTCAGGGGCTCGGTACCATCTTGTAGCAACGTAATCAGTGTAGGCATCTCCTGGAACTGCAAATGCACCAATCGGATCAGGTGAGGCATATTCTTCCCAAAAGTAAACTACCTCCAAGGACAGGACAGACATTCAGGCAAACTTTAATAACTCTTGGAGGCCATGACACTCCTAGCAGTTAGGGCAGTGAGGTGCTAATTGAGTAAACAGACTGTCCACTGAGATAATAAATTCACCTTTCAAAGGCACCTTAGCTAGTTAAGATCTACACCATCCCACACAGAAGTGGGGTAGGGAGAACAGAGTTTCTATAGTGTAACTTCAAGTCTCAACCAACTACTGTTTGTTTCTACATTATTATCAGCATGCTGCTTGTTATGGGTTGAACTGTGTCCCCCATCAAGATAGACTGAAGTCCTAAACCCTGGTACCTGTGCATGCGACCTTATTTGGAAATAGGGTCTTTGCAGATGTAATCAAGTTAAGATGAGTTCATACTAGATTAGGGTAGATCCTAAAATCCTATGATTGGTGTCCTTACAAGAAGACCATATAGGGTACAGAGGCACAGAGGGAAAACATCATGTGATGTTGGAGGCAGACACTGGAGTGACACAGCTGCCAGCCACGGAATGTCAGTTTTCCTGCAAGCATCATAAGCTAGGAGAGAGGCACAGATCCTCCCTTAGAGCCTTCAGAGAAAGCATGGCCCTGCTGACACCTTGGTTTTGAACATCTGGCCTCCAGAACTGTGAGAGAATAAACTCCTGTTGCTTTCTGCCCCATAGCTTATGGTAATTTGTAATGGCACCCCTAGAAAACCAATGCATTATTTTTTCTATCCAAATTTGTTACTTAGGACTCACTGTGACAAAGACCACAAATTTGACCCCTGTAGTACGAGTCATATGTGGTGTGTGACAGGCAGAGGATGGAGAGCTGGGTGTAACCTCACTGACCAGCCCTGTCCTCCTGCCATGGGTGTGGACTGCTGGGGGCCAAAGCACCTGCCTCCCAAGTGAGTGGAAGCCAATCTCACAATTGCCACATGAACCTCAACGACCAGGAACCCCAGTTTCCTCCCCTGAGGCTGAAAGCAGGTTGGGAAGATGATTTCATGGCCTGTAACTGGCAAGAGTCATACGTGTTCCTGTAGGAACTGTGCAAATGCATGACAGAGGAAGAACAACAGGTAACTGGCCCAGCTGCAGGCTGAGGCAATGCGTGGGCAATTCTCTCCAGAAAGACTCGGGTGGCCTGCACGACCCTGCCACAAAAGCTGCTCGGAGGACAGGGGCTGCAGCTCTCACCAAAGAACACCAGGATCTCACAATTGCCACATGAACCTCAACGACCAGGAACCCCAGTTTCCTCCCCTGAGGCTGAAGGCAGGTTGGGAAGATGATTTCATGGTCTGTAACTGGCAAGAGTCATATGTGTTCCTGTAGGAACTGTGCAAATGCATGACAGAGGAAGAACAACAGGTAACCGGCCCGGCTGCAGGCTGAGGCAATGCGTGGGCAATTCTCTCCAGAAAGACTCAGGTGGCCTGCACGACCCTGCCACAAAGGCTGCTCGGAGGACAGGGGCTGCAGCTCTCACCAAAGAACACCAGGAAAAGAGCAGGAAAAGGAAACGACCTTTACCTCCCTGCTGCTCTTTTATAAAGTTAGATCAACTTTAAAATAGTAAAAATTAATAAATGCCATTAAGGAAATTTGGAAAATGGAGAATAAGAAAGAAAACAACCACCACTGACAATTCTTAATACTCACAGGTTAAGTCGCTATTTTACTATTTTGGAACATTTTTCTATTGTAAAAGTCATATGTGCTCAGTACAGAGAATACGAAAAATATAATATCAGAAAGAATAAAAATAAATCCAAGTTTTACCACCCAAAGATACCTTGTGTTAACTTTTGGTGTATTTCATTCAAGTCTTTTTCCTTTTTTAAGCATAATTTTTGAGTACTTTTGATCATATTGTATATATAATTTTGTGTTCCGATGTGTTTCATTTAATTCTATGCATTTACCATGTTATGACAAACTCTTCCTAAACTTGAGTTTGATGGCTGCATAACAGTTTACCAAGTGTATATGCCATGATTTACTTTACCTTTTCCAAATTTTCTAATATTTTGCCACTATAAATGACACCAGATTGAAAATCTCTGCACAAAGCTTTTTCTATATTTAGGAATATTTCTTTGGGATACATTTCTATAAGTAGAATTATTAGACTGAGAGGTATGACCATTGGCTAAAAAACTTAAGAAGCAATTTATGTTCTTTGTTGAAAACTTGGAAAATAGAAAAAAGCATAAAGAAAATAAAAATCACCCACCATCCAGAGAGAAACCATGTTGACGTTTTGGTGCATTTCCCTTCCTTCCAGTCTTTTCTTAACATCACACACCCAGACACACACACGGTAGTATAACTGGGGCCAGTCTGTGCAGTTTTCTATTCTTTTCCCCTTGCCTCCACATTGTGAACTGGAGCATTTTCTCATGTAATGAAAATTCTTTAAAAATGTAAATTTTAATGTATGCTATGAAATCAGATAAATTCTTTAGCTATTTACTTATTTCTGAATAGTCAGGTTCCTTTGAATTTTTTCTCAGTAATAATTTGTTCTCCAATGACATTATGCTGTATTATTTTGGGGGGTAGTATCTTGGGTTAGGAGAGATTCCTGAAAGTAGAATTAAAGGTTCAAAAGGCACTTTAAAAAGTTTTTGATACATATTAACAAACAGCTTTCTCAAGGAATTTGTTCCAAACTGTGTTCCCACTAAAAACTATCTGTGAGCTCTGAGTAGTTATTGTTTGAAAAATCTCCGCCAGCTTCTTTGGTGAAGAGTTGTATTTCAGGGCCGGCCCCGTGGCGCACTCGGGAGGGTGCAGTGCTTGGGTGCGCAGTGACGCTCCCGCCACGGGTTCGGATCCTATATAGGGATGGCCGGTGCGCTCACTG